AAATATTTGCATATTCATACATTCTTGATATTTCAACGAGGGAGAAGGAAGGGTAGATGTGCTTTTAAAACTCTTTAACCAGAGAAATAATTTTTGTCGAAAAACAAAAGGCACTTCAATTGAATTTACTTTTTATTTGATTTTATTGTTTTATTGTGCCTCAATGTGGTGTTTTATGATGTTGCAGTCTTATTGTGTTATTTTTACTGGGGAATTTATGGTGTCTTTATGTCTGAACCAAACTAATTTTCCTCATGATAAAGTTGAAATGTAAATAAAAAACAATGAATGCCACATTAGACTAAAACAGTCCATAAATCATCCAGAACTAACAGACATAAGAAAAGAAATATATTAAATGTATCGTAGGGAAGAAAGTGATGGGGTATTTTTTATTTTTTTCGTTTTTTTGACAGATCCTGAACCGAGCGCCCTGACTGAGGTGGTGGAGCGCAGCCTTCTCTCCTTACTGTTCATTCCACTCCTAGCCCTGGTATTCCTGCTTGTGTGGAAGGTGAGCCTTTGACCCCTGACACTAAGCTGTTTAACTTCCTGAGCCACTCTGGAGATATCACTGTTTGTGAGTGGCCTGTTTTATTGTCGGCAGATACCGCTTTTGTTCCATGGAATTTATGACAACTGGCAACGGCCTTTCAACTTTCTGCAGATGTTGTGCGGTCTGTGTTGATCTGAGTTGTGGCGATTTCAGCTGAAACTGACAACTTTGGTATTAAAAATTACTTCCTACTCCAAAACAGGTCCGGTCACGGAGGAACGAGGAGGATCTTCATCAAAATCCTGGAGAAGGTGGACTCTTCACAGGAACAGAAGGGACTGCACCTCCACTAGACGCTGAAATATCAGAAAAGTGAGCAGGTTTTTTTACATGCATTTTAACAGGAAACTGATCCCCTTTAAGCGCCCATGCAATGTAGCACTAAACTGAATGACCTTAGGATGACAAATGTGCAGCATAGACTTTTATTTTTTTTAAATTCTCTCTCTCTCTACAATGCTGAATCGCAGTCGTACCCCTTAAGTACGGCCTACAGCTAATTTTAGCCTCAGGGGTTCCCCAGCAGGTTAATCTGGCCCTGGACATAAGAAGTATATGCTTAGACTATAGAATCTATTTCTGTAGACTTCTGAATACCTGCTGGAACTCTTAATTCATTAAGCTGAACTGTTACTTTAAACCTGAGAGATTAAACATCAACAACAAGCTCTGCATCAGCCAATTTTCGCTGATCAATCAGCTGTGAAGGAAGTGAAGTTTAGAGTTTAATATGTTTCTTCCTGTCCAATTACAGAAACAAGTTGAACATCATTGAAACCGTGTAATGCTTCTACCTTTTGATGTACTTCAGCATAATTGGTAAGATTTTTCATATCCCAACAGTAAACTGACAAAAAAAATCTATTCTCACAGTTTTGAAAATAAAGAAAATCATGTTTGACTCCTTGCCTGACACTGAGTTCTAAAACCTCTCCCCACACTTTTCTCTGACAGGGCTCTACTCTTTTCTACTGTCGGTGTCCAAAGGTGATGAGAAACAAACTTTAAGATGAATCTCCATATTGAAATATCAAGAGGTAAAAGGCCTGTTTTTGACTTCTCTCCAGATTCACAATGGCAGATTCACAATTGCCATGATCCTTCTGGTTAAACCATGCCTGCTACCGTATGGAAAAAGCTTGCCTTTTCTTGTAAGACTGCATTTACCCCATGCTTTTGAAAAAGACTGTGAGATTTTAGCAGAGAGAAACCCCCACACCACTCCCCACCCCTGACTGGATTCTCTGGCTTCCGCAAATTGTTCATCAGCACCTGCTGCATCATGAACTCTTTTGGGAAAAACTTTGCTTCTCTCTCAGCCATTGCTACAGTCCTTCTGTATTTTTGGGCCCGCCAGTTCATCTTCCATCAACAATCAGAGAGTGACTGACACAGGTTGTT